TTAAATTTCAGCAATTTCTCTAACTGTATAGTCTTCTTGAAGCAAAGTAAGTATTGTTGCCCTTTCTTCTACACTTATTGGCTTACCTTTAGGTATATTGTTTCCAGTATTTTGAATCTACACTAAAAAAAAATTTAATTTTAGCCTTAAGGTCTAATTTCAATTTCAAAATTTCAAGAGCAGAAGTTCAAATTTGAACTTCTGCACTTAAAATTTTAAAAAATTTACAAAAAATACAAAAAAATCTGCGTGTAAAAACACAGTAAACAATAGAAATACTTGTTAAATGACAAACTTAAAAAATTAAGTTGATAATGTAAAATGCAGGTTCATTTGTAAATTTGATATGTTTCTCTGTTAATTAATTTAAAATGATAAGACTTTTACTTGCTTGTACTATTTACATTAAAATAACTTAATTTAGAATTTCATAACATAAACAAGAAATAGTTATGTTTATGAAATTGTTTTAGTAAATTTACAATTTATTGATGAATATTAATTTAGTTAACAAAAGTAAAAAAAAAAAAAATTTATTAACTTTTTATTGCTCTCACGTTTAGGGCAGAGGCGTCTCAAATTTTAGGGCTTTTTTTGTTCCCTGGCTTTAAAATTTTCTATTTTTTTGAACAGCATCTTTGTTTGACATAAGTATAAACATACAAGAGTTTGGAGATTTCTCCATGTCTAGTTAGCTAGCTCTTACGAAAAGTTAGCTATAATCAAGCTATATATCAAACACACAAAAAAAACAAATTTTCTTAAATAAAATCTCGACAAGTTAATTTATTTTACTAGTCGTCAGATTATCAGACGACTGATATGTTGTCTAATTTAAATCTTTGCTAACTGTGATAAGGCAAAAATAAGTTATTAGATTTATTAACATCTTAAAGTAATAACAGCTCTTCATAGTTTATTATCTTTTCAGAATGAAAAATAAGTAACTCATTACGAACCTCGGATAATATATTAAATAGTTATTTATTAAAAATTATATTAAACTTTGCTTTTTTATTGTGATAAAATTTGGTGCGATAAACAATCTACAGAACTATACAAAAACTTTTCATTCCGCGACGTTTTTAAAGTAATTTTCGAAACGATATTTTAACGGCTACGACAACACCAACAACTAAAAAAGTTATAACTTTTACTTTCTAGTTCCATGGAACAAGAAAGTGCAGTTGGCGTATTGATTTCGTAATCCGCTAATTTCGTTAAGTCGGCAACTGCAAAACCGCAATTAACAACATCAACACAATCAATAAAAAAACCCAACGACAATTACAATAACAACAACGATGTTATATTTATTTTCCAAAAATATAAATAGAATTGTATCTAGTATGTAAAAAAATCTCCATTTCTTACAACAAATTAAAAAAAAAAATCTTCCATAAAAGTTGTAGGTTAAGCAACTTAAGAAGTACCTGTCTTTCAGAAGTTCTCCTACATAACTTATAAGTTTATAATAAAAAAGTTGTTATATATAATTGGCCTGTTTAAAATAAAATTTCAACCTTAAGTAAAAATTTTACTATAAAAAATTTATAATATAAGCATGCTAATAAAAGTTATAGTTTGCAGATAAATTTTAAATAGATGTATTAAGAACATAATCAATACATTACAATACTTCATAAATAAGAAGTAAATAAGAAGGTTAATTCTCATTTGAGAGTTTTAATATAGGAAATAATTTGTAAAAAGGTTATATGATATATATGTATATATATATATATATATATATATATATATATATATATATATATATATATATATATATATATATATATATATATATATATATATATATATATATGTTATATATATATATATATGTATATATATATATATATATATATATATATATATATATATATATATATATATATATATATATATATATATGTTATATATATATATATGTTATATATATATATATATATATATATATATATATATATATATATATAAACATATATACAATGGCCACAGATAATATACATATATCTGTGGCCATTGGTTAATTTATAATAAGTGCAAAATTGGTCATTTTGAAATAAAAATGCAGTTTTGTTAAATTGCATTAGAACTTTAATTTTTTGAAACTACAATTGCTGCAGTTTAAAAGAAAATAATTTATTTGTGTGCATGTCTATATATATATATATATATATATATATATATATATATATATATATATATATATATATATATATATATATATATATATATATATATATATATATATATATATATATATATATATATATATATATATATATATATTTGTATATATTTATATATATATATATATATATATATATATATATATATATATATATATATATATATATATATATATATATATATATATATATATATATATATATATATATATATATATATATATATATATATATATATATAGACGAAAAGTGGGTAATGTTGCAGAATTGTGGCATAAAATCATTTTATCGTTTTGCTTTAAAATAATCTGAGAAGGAAATGTGACTTTTTAAAATCTGAGAAGTTAAAAAGTAACTTTTTAAACTTTTAACATTGCATTAAACTAATCCATTAAAATTATGGTTTAGTGTTTTTAATTTCTCTTAACAAAGACTAGAAACTATTTTTCTAAAGTTTTTGTAGCTTGTTTTTAAACAAACATCAAAATTAAACAAATTGTGACAACAGTTTGGTACATCAGAAGATCTATTTACATCTTATCTACATGATATTTAGCATCAACATTTTAAAAATGTCCTTTATTTTCAACATTTTTTATTTTTTATTTTGTCTTAGGTTAAAGTTTGGCTTAGGCTAAGGCTCAGCCATAAATATTCTGTTTAAACTTTAACTTAATCATACAAAAAATATTATATTTAATTATATAAAGTTATTATTTATAAACAGTAAAGCGCCCCTTTTTAGCAATAAATCCTGGAAATCCTGGAATTTTTTTTTGATTTAGTTCAATATTTTGTTATCATGTTTTTGTCTTCTACAGAAATATTATGAATATTGTATAGATTTTTACTGAATTTATGTATTTTCTGAAATGCAAAAAAAAAAATTGTTAACCGTTATTGTCAGTATTATTAATATCTACTAATTATTTATAAACTGTTATATATTAACTAATATAATCCCTAAGACAAAGAACTGTTATTTTCAAACAGCTATACAAAAAATATTCAAAAATTTAAAGATCTTGCAAAAAAATTTAAAGCATTCCTAGTTCTATTTCAAACAGACAGACCTATGGTGGCATTTTTATCAAACAGTTTAGAAAATATGTTGAGAAATTTTCTGAAAACAATTCTCAAAGCAAACATTTAAAAAAAAGCTGAAGCAGTATTTAGTTTAACAAAGATTGAAGTAGATCAAATTGACAGCAGGAACAGCACTAAAACAGATGCTAAGCTCTCCTCATTGTAAACCAGAAGAGAAACTAGAATTTAAGAAAGAATGTAGTCAGATTATCATAATGTTATTACAAAAATTACAAGAAAGATGCCCATTGAATTATTCTTTAGTGAGATATTTTTCATCTTTGTCTCCGAATGAAATGGTTCAAAACAAAGAAGTATCCACTGTGATTCAAGGTTCTTGCTGAGAGATTAAGTGTATTAAAATGGTATTCAACTGATGATGCAGATAATGCAAAACAACAGTAGAATGAATTTGTTGGTGCAGAATGTGTTCAGTTTAGAGTCCTAAATTTGAGTTCTTTAATGGCTTTAACTAATTCTGTTGATATATTTCTTAGTTTCTATTTGCACAAAACTCAAAAGTATTCAATATTGTGGAAATTCTGCCTTATTATTTTTGTTTTATCTCATGGCCAATCTGCAATAGAACAAGGATTTAGTGTTAACAAGTAGTTATTAGTAGAGAATCTACAAGAGAGATCTCTTGTTTTCCAAAGAATAGTTTATGACTACATCAATACCCATGATATTATTAATCATCAGTATGAGCTTTCTAGTGATCTTTTAAATAGTTGTAGGTTAACATACAATATGTACAATTCAGTGTTAATTAAAAATAAGGATTAGTTAAAGGCAGATGAAGTAAAAAGAAACATAAATTGATTGATAAAAAAAATGTAATTATAAAGAAGCAGAAAGAAAATTGTGCAAAGGGCATTAAAACTGATATATATATATATATATATATATATATATATATATATATATATATATATATATATATATATATATATATATATATATATATATATATATATATATATATTATAAAATATATTATAATTTTTAAATTAGCTTTTGGCTGGCCACCCTGGATAAACAATTTATTCCTTCAATTAACATTCACTCAGAAGAATTATAGGAAAGAAAATAACTATGCATAGATTTACAGATTAAAGCCAACAACAATAAAAAATAGCAACTTAGGACACACACACACTCACACATACTAACACAAGCAGTATTCCTATTAAATAGAACAAAACTAGTAGTTTGAGTATGAGATTTAAGTAGCAATTTTTTACAATGGATGCTTTTTCTGGATTTAAACTATTCTGTAGATCAGGACTGAGTATTATTATTGTAATATTACTCCTCAAAAGATTTCTTTTCAAGTTTATAAGCTTTTAATTCCCTTCCCACAATTAAACTGGCTGGTTTTGTATAAGATTTCTTTCTTCTATGCATGTTAGCTTAACCACGGCAAAAAGTTGCACCTGTTTCAATATACATTTATTTTAATTTTTCGATTCAAGTGTCATTGTGTACATATAGTGTAAAGTCGTACAAGGTACTGGATTCTTTAGTTCCCCAAAAATAATTTTTAAAAAAGTCATAAAGTCTAAACACTTTTTAGTCATTTACTTAGAAAATTACTGCTTATATAGTTACTAATATGATTACTACTTATATAGTTATTTAATAAACTGTATTAGTTTTTTTTTTATGTTGGTTATATATTTTGTTTATTTATGTTTAACTGATATTTTGAAAATTTTATTTATTAGATCAACTCAATAAATTACAAAGTATTCTTTGTATACTTTGTATTAAATGTCTGACGATGAAAATGACTATATGTCAGATAAGTTTTTAGCTCAAGATCATAAACCTGGCTTGATGCCAAAAATATTTCTTCAAAAACATAAAAAAATTGAAGAAGGAAAGTTAAAAGGAATTCAAAACAAAACTAAGCCTATCAAATTAACAGAGATTGAAAAGCGTAATGAAAAGCTAAACGAGGCGTTAGATGAAACAAACAAAGGGTTTGCACTTCTTTCCAAGATGGGTTTTAAGAAAGGAATGGGACTTGGAAAAGAAGGTAGTTACATGCTTATGTTATTTACTTTTAGTTAATTGATAAATTGTTTAAGAAAATAATTATATAACAATTTAATTGATTATAATTGAATTTATCAATAATTTAGGTCAGGGGAGATCTGAACCATTACCTTTAGAAATTAAAGAAGGTAAAAAGTTTACTATGCTATGCATAATATTTAATATATATATATATATATATATATATATATATATATATATATATATATATATATATATATATATATATATATATATATATATATATATATATATATATATATATATATATATATATATATATATATGTATATATATATATATGTATATATATATATATATATATATATATATATATATATATATGTATATATATAAATATATATATATATATATATATATATATATATATATATATATATATATATATATATATATATATATATATATATATATATATATATATATATATATATATATATATATATATATATGATATGATATGATATGATATATGATATGATATATATGTATGTATGTATGCCCCAATAACATTTTTATGTTACACTAAGTTTCAATCAGTTAGAATCAGTAACAAGGTTAATTAAATATTAAGTAAACTTGATAAAACAATGAATTTTTATTGCTGACATCTATTTATTTTGTTTTATTTTTATAATTATTGTAAAATAGCTTTGTCTCAATTGTATGCTTTGTCACAAAAAAAAAGTTTAAATTTGCAGTGTTATATCTCAATTGGTTTCACTTTTTAATGCAGAATGGTTTAGAAAAATGTAACCAATTGAGACATAATGTAACATAAAAAAACGAGATTTTAATTCTCAAATATAGATTTTTATAATGTTACAGCTGTAATGTTACAGGTCAATTATGTATTGTTTCTCAATTAAATGTAATGCTCAATTATATGTAATTATATGCTTAATTATATGTAATTGCTCAATTATATGTAATGTTACAGCTCAATTGATGTATCAATTTGAGATTGGTTACTCTTTATATATAAAGAGTAACCAATTAAGAGTAAAATTAACCAATTGACATAATTACATCATAAATGAAATTTTGATTGAGATGTAAAAAAAATTAGATCATTACTAAAACTAATTAAATTTTTAAGATTTTATTTCTTTAACTATATTAATAAATTTGTCAGTGTAAAACATAAATAACATGCTATTTATGTTTTACACTTTTACTAAATATTATATATATACATTGACAAACCCAGAGTTTTTTGGGGGTACCAAGTCTAAAGACTTCTATTTACAAGGCATCCATTCATTCACAACTAGTTTATCACATTTCAATCAAGGTGTTGTCTGCAATGTTTGTAAAAATAATAATCAAACAAAAGACTATGTTTGATTAAAAAAGTTGTATGTGAAAGTTGCAGGAACATAGTAGGACTCTAACCTCTTATAAAGCGAGTGCTCTCCCACCATACCTCTACCACATTACACCGCTTATTTCAATTTCTGCTTTGCTGGAAAGCATACATGAAATTAAAGTAATTCTTAATTTAAAACTTGATTTTTAAACAATGATTTTCAATAATAATGACTACTACTGCCTGTTTTTTTATTAGCACTATAAAGTTCTTTTTTTGTTTGTCAGTTGAAATGTATTGTTTATTAATCTTATTTTAAAATTTTTGATTTATCGATGTGCTGTTATTATATTATTGCACTTAAGCTGTTTCTATGGTTTTACTTTTCATTTCAAATAATCAAGTTTTGGTTTCGAGCTGCTAAAAAAATGTTGTTCCAAAATTAATTCATATTGTTTTGAATAAGTTTATTTGAGCAAAACTGACCATTCTTTTAAAGATATTAACTAAGAGTTTTAGAAAATTTTTTTAATTTTTAGCAAAATTTTAAAAATATAAATTAAATGTAAATAAATAAGCATTGATTTTTTATAGAGTTTTTTAATCGTTTTTGCATCAGATTTATTAAACTACTCTTCTAGTAGATTGGTATTCTTCAATAAGATTTTCTTTTTAGGTGAATTCTCTAAGATTTTATTTATATATTTCTTTATATTCAGCTGAATTTAGTAAGATTCAGCTAACAGCTGTTTCTTGATTTTTGTCTTACCCAGCAAATAGCACAAAACAGTTTTTTTATTCATTCTTTTTTACTTTTTAACTTGATGAAAACTGTTCAACCAGAAAAGTTTTATTTTTTAAAATTTAGGTTTATATTGTAGCTTCCCCGAGTTCCTCATTTTGCAGCTTCCCCAAATTCCAGTCAGATGAGAACTTATATAAGAACTTAAAACCAGAGTTCACAAATTCACTTGCCAGTTGAATCTATGAATTATTCTTCTCCATAGTTGTTACTACAGAAACAGACCTATCCCCTAATTTTTGAATGATGTCTTGCCTTTTGCAGGCTTATTTTTCAACAAAACTTTTTTATTTAATATTAGGTAGCTTCAATTAAGTAAATAAATGGTCTGACAAAATTTTTTAGTTTAAATAAGTTATTAAACAATTAGCTTTATTTAATGATAATAATTTGTATATTAATTATTTTGACGTGTTTCTGCCAATTTTTTGCAATTATCTTCTAAATAAAAAAACTTTGATTTGAGCCATACTCCACACTCCAGTTAGTTTAAGAGCTGAAAAAAAAATGCACTCAAAAAACCTCCCTAGTAATCTTTTGATTGAGATAAATTAGTTTTTGAATAAAAAACGTTTGCTTTTTAACAGTTTATATCTCATATCAATATATTGGAAAAAAATATTAAAAAAAAATTAACTTTTCCTGAAAACCTCTAAAAAAGAACATATGAGTATTAATATTATTCATATATAAGATATATAAATATAAGAAAGTAGTTTGAATATAAATGATTCATAGTTTTATACTATAGGTCGCAAAGGTTTAGGAACCGAAGCCGAAGAAAACATGCGTAAACAAAAACAGGTTGATGCTCTTGTATTTATGTCAAAAAAACGAAAGATGGTTGAAGATACTCTTAAAGGAGATTTTGAACATAGGATGAAAGAAAAAATATGTGAGAGACAAGTTAATAGTGATCTGTACAAAAGTCAAAAGGCATGTCAACATCTTGATAATTTAAAGGTAATTTAAGGTGTTTTTAAAAGCTAAAATGTTTTGTACAATTTGTTTTTTATATATAACTTTTTTTGTTTTTAATATTTAGTGATAAAAGTTTTTGTTAAAGTCTAGATTCATTCTTCTTTTTTTTATTTTGCTTAATAATCTTAAAAAAATTTTTTTTTACACTGTTATTATCACAACATTGTATTGCTAAATACAGTGAAAACAAATGAAAAAACATTCCAAAATCATGAAAAAAGATGATTATATCATTATTTATTTAGATCAAATGTTTAATATGATTGTTTTTTTTTTTAATTTTTATATTTTGGAACTAATTCACTCTTAATAAGGCTGCTAAGCAAATACTATTAGGTTAGGAGTTTCTAGCCAGGGTTGACAAAAAAACCCAGCCTCAATAAACCCAACCCAAAAAAAACCCACCTTAAAAAAACCCAAAAAAACCCAAAATATATTTTTTTAAAATGTTCTATTTTACAACTGATAACTCTGATTTTAACACTTATAAATGCTTTATTATCAGCAAGTGCAACTTTTATACTGTAATTACTCTTGTAAACACTGCATTTATATACAAAATAGTATTTAGAATATATCCAAAACCGATCAATCTGTTTCTTGGTGAAGAAACACACACAATAGAGCTATATAATGTGTTACTTTGATTCAGTTGCAAAACTGAGTCAGTAAAACATCTTCAAGGAAAAAAAAGAATCTGGTGGTGAAGACACTGTAATGGTTCTTAACAAATTCATTTTAGATATTTTAAGAACAACCAAAGCTTAGGCAAAAATCCATTTTTTGCCTAACTCCAGTTGATCAGGCCGATAACTTTTCCAGGAAGCTGGACAGTATAATGTTCTGTTAAAAAAAAATGTAATGATTAGGCTAACAGTTTTCTTCTATGATGCAAAAATGTTTAAAAAGTGTTCATAGTCATCCTGATTGACAATAATTTACAAGGTTGCAGCATCATGTTGCAAACTTGCTGATTACATGATGTAAGCTTGTGCAAACTAGTTTTTGAAATGATATGTTGAACAGGTTAGTATAAAAAACTAGTTTGCAACATTTATATTGTCTTACCAACTTTGAATAACTCAATTGTCATAATAATTTTTATAGTGATTTTTTTTTAGTCAAAAATATTCTGAACATGTTTTTAATTTAGTGCAATTAATTAAAATCATTTATAGTTGATGGAGTCCTCTTTTGCACTATAAGTAAAATGTGCTAGTAGACTAGTAGTAAAACATTTGGCTCACAATCAGAAGTTTAGGGGTTTAAATTACCTCTGCTGAAATTACTGTGCTCAATCTATTTCTCCCCACAGCACAGTGGGACAGAGTGTGCCAAAATACAAAAAAATCACTATCGGCATTGTATTCTGAAAATATGTCATAATGGTGAAAATATCTTTATTAGAGGAAATATATTGTTAAAAAAACATTAAATATTAATTTAAACGTTGTTTTATGCGGTTATATACACATGTGTTTCAAAACGCTTTTTTGCATTTTTTAATTATCAAGTTTCTTACGCTACTATTGTTTTAAATTAATTTTATTGAGTATGATTTTAAAATATATTATTTGAATTAACTTTGTTTTTTTCGCTCTGACTATTTAAAACAATTAAACGTAAGTGTAATCTTCAGTTTTTATGCATCAGTGACAGACAGTTTTGGCTTTTTTTTTTGCTACTAACCTTTACTATTAGGTATCAGATAAACCGTCCTCCAACATCCTCCAAACATTTGATTATGTAAATCGGATGCTTAATGTATCTTAACTACAATTTATCATAAATATTTTGCAACTTTTTGCAACTAATAAAGTTATAACAAATAACTCATACTCAATTCATAGTATTTATTGCAAAAACACGTTTTTCATAAGTTCTTGAAACTCAAATATTTTTCATGACTTTTTAACTGCAAATTAATTATGCAAGATTTTTTTTACCAAAGGTTTCAATAATTATTTTTTTTGCAGTTATATATATGATACTTGTTGATATGGCGTCTTTTTCCCTCCATCCCTCCTCCCACCCCTTCCTTTTCCTCCTTAAAAAAATATTTTTATAACCTTTTCAGTATATCTAATGCTTTTACATATATTGTATGCACTAATAATATTTAACAGACACTTGTCCGCAAGATGCAATAACTTCAATTTTGTTTTTAGATGAAATATTTTGATCTTTTCAACTCTTTAAAAGATAATAAAATTTTTATTCAAGATACTGAGAAATCATATATTCATTTGCTAACATTCTTTGAGTTATCCCTTGATCAGAACAATAAAATTGTTTGAAGATCAAAACTTATGAACATTTTAGCACATCTTAAATATCGCTGGAATGTCTGTAAACGCAGAAAATCTTTATTTATTAAGAACAATACTAAATGGCTTGATAATGAAATTAATTTAAATGATTTTGCTGCAGGCAAAATAACCATACCTACAAGTTCTCAATCTACTTCCAGCGCTGGTCGACAAACAATTACTGACTTTCAAGAGTGTTCTTCAAGAACTAAGTATCGACGTGTTAGTAAACTTCAAAAAAGTCACTCGTCAAATGAGCTAATATTTGCTTCAAAAGTTTTATTAAATAAAGAAGGAAAAATAGAAAAAGCTAAAGCAATCAAAAAAATATATTTAGATAAGAATGTAGATTCTTCGATGCTTTCTGGAAAAAGCTGTGTTCCAACTCCATAGAAATGCAGCAATTGAAAAGAATGCAACCTGTATTCTGCATATAACAATATAAAATCATCAAAACTTTTGTGCTACCCTAATAACATGATTTTTACTGACTATACTGCAAGTATACCACTGCAAAGTTTATGTGACCATACAGCTCAAAGACTTTGTCAAGTTCAAAATGAGGTTTTATGTATGCTAGAAACGTTTGACCTGGTATCTCTTCATTATAAAGCAGGTTTTGATGGGTCTACTGGTCAAAGCATATATAAACAAAAAATGTCTGTTGAAAGTTTTCGTGACTTGAAAAGAGAAGAATCATTGTTTCTAACTTGCCTGGTTCCACTTCAGATTACAACTTATGTTAGAGAAACCCTAACTGTCATTTGGAGAAATCCAAAACCTTCTTCCACTTTATATTGCCGACCTTTAAGATTTAAATTTGAAAAAGAAACAACTGATTTAATACTTATTGAAGAAGCTACTTTGAAAGACGAGATCTTAAATCTTGTAGAAACTTTTGTTCAGTTATCTAATGGCAAGTCTATTTCAGTCAAACATATCATTCAAGTTACTATGATAGATGGTAAAGTCCATACTGCTCTATCAAATGTAACAAGCTCTAGTCAATGTTGCTGTATATGCGGGTGTTCACCAAAAGACATGAACAATATTGACAAAGTTACGAAACTTCCATACTCACCGGATGAGCTTCAATATGGATTATCTACACTTCATGCATGGATAAGATTTTTTGAGTGTCTCATACATATTTCATATAAGATACCAATAGAAAAATGGCAAGCAAGAAGAGACGTAGAGAAATCTCTTGTTAAAGAGCAAAAAATGAAGATACAAAAAGAATTTCAACACAAAATGGGACTTATTGTTGACTACCAAAAATGTGGAGGATCTGGAAACTCAAATGACGGCAATACTGCTCGAAAAGCTTTTTCAAATGAAGACTTGTTTGCTGATATTACAGGAATAAACAAGGAACTAATTGTAAAGTTGCATATAATCCTAGTTTGTATATCAAGTGGATTTCAAATAGATACTAGTAAGTTTCGCTTACTTTGTCTGGAGATCGCAAAACTCTACTCATGCTTGTACCATTGGTATTACATGCCTCAAAGTCTTCACAAGATCTTAATTCATGGAGCAGAAGTAATAGAAAATCTATTCTTACCAATAGGTCTGTTTAGTGAAGAAGCTCAAGAAGCTAGAAATAAAAAACTTAGAAAATATAGGGAACATCATTCCCGTAAAAATTCAAGAACAAAGACAAACGAAGATGTAATGAAAATACTTTTATGTACATCTGATCCAGTTATTTCATCTTATAGAAAAACTGTTTCATCTGTAAAAAAGAAATTTCCTCCGGGTGTTGTTGAACTTTTTATTTGCGAGAATTCTACGTTCTAGAATATAGATCTAGTTCGTAATTTTTAATGGTAATTAAACTAAAAAATAAACTTTTTTAGCAATATATATGAGCTTGATATTCATTTTATATGTTTTGTATAATTAGTTTATAACAGTTCTAATAAAAAAAATTAAAAATAATTTTGGCACAGAAAACGCGATTTTATCCCACTGTGCACAACGCTTTTGTTTAAAAATTTTAGTTGTTAATATTGTTTGTTAGTAAAAATGATAATGTTAAGGATTGAGACAAAAGATTTTTAAAAAATGAGTTGCTCCTTTGACTGAAGTGGTCATTGGAGCAATAGGGAGGTAAATTTATCAAATTAAAAAAAAAATTATTGTACTCATACAATTATAAAAATTTGGTATTTTGATCGGTTTTTAAAAAAACCCATTTGGGTTAGGTTTTTTTAAAAAACCCTGGGTCTTTTCCAACCCTGTTTCTAGCAAACAATAAGTAATGTTAAATAACAAGGGAATGGTTGATAGAAGATATGAAGAGTTTCAGGTTCATAAGCAATTACAAGCCCCAGTCTGTTACAGAAGTGAGATCAGATTCAAGATCGACTGCCTGTTTTAAGCAATAAAAAAGAGAAGATTTTTTGTCTAGACAGGAGCACCCCTCAAATTTAGGGTCGGCATTCGGCAATGCTGACCTAACTGCCAACCTGAGAGTGTTTGAGGTCAGCAAAAAAATTTCAGACTTTATTTCTGTTTTTTATGTTTAGACCTTTGTATCAAATAGTTTTTGAGCTCAGGCGACCACATTTTTTCTTATTCCGAGGGCTGCATGAGTATAAAGTTGAGTCATCAGCAAATAAGCCACTTTAGATGAAAAGTTAACAGGAAGATCATGTGTAGATAAAA